TGTATTCTTTATTTAAACTTCAATTGGTTGGCTTGAGTGGAATAGATTGCTGTGATGTTAGAGCAGTCCTATGATACTATGGTGTGTGCTACTTATGGGGGCAGACATAAGTAGTAGGTATTAGGAGTCAAATGTGAAGTTCCTACGAAGAGAAAAGGAAAATCAAGGGGACAAACGGGGAAACAGAAAGCAATCAAAATAACAACCGATCATTAATATACAAGCGTCTTAAAGTAGGGTTCAAGCCCAATAGAGTTGGTAAAAGACAACTTTAATAAATCAAGAGTTTTACAGAGGAGCGTTTGTTTATATTTATTAGTAGAGCAATTTTGTAGTGGGACTGTTTATTAAGTTTGTAGTTACTATGGATTAACGATGCAGAGGCGCTTGGCATGGGGTGACTTCGACAATGGCGTACGTTAGGTTTGTGTTCTGGACATGAGAAGAAACTCCATGGCTGTGTACTGTAAACGTAGTACTGAAAAAATAAAGTATGAAGAACAAGCGGCAAGGAAGTTGGATACGAACTCCCGAGAATACTTAAGCGTATACACTGGAACAGAAAAAGATATGCTTGGTCAGAAGATAAACATCATACTAGCTGATATCATCAGGATAAATTGTGATCGGCTGTAGAAAATAAATCAATGGAGAATAACTAAGTGTGACAAGTATACTTATATAATATACCCTAGTGGGCCAGAGTAATTCTACATTGGTTTTCAGGAGAACCAGACACCATCCAGACTTTCACGTGACAACCCAAACAGTACTGCTCAATCCCGCTTAACAGGAGAGCCAGACACCGCCTGGGCTTAAATTTTGTAACCCGAGTAGTGTATGACAAGTAACAAGACGAAATATGTCGAATAAGGAATAGAAAGCTGGCCTTTAGTGGCTCGATGTTTAATTCTAATTGGATCGTATGAATGATTGCTGTCGAAATATGTATATCTTCAATCTTCCCATATAACTATCGACTTGGATCGCGTTACTGAATAATGGAATTCAATAAGTAGAATACGATAATTAATTTCCGAATACACATATTTCATAGACTCGTTGATCTGGGCAAGTAATCACCTCGTGTTTACAGGAGTCCTAAAATATTAGAATAGTTTATCTATTGGATTTAGAATGCCAAGCAGACTACCAGAAAGCTTTCAGCAGTTCTTTTAGCACCATATGAATATATCTCATTCTGAGTCTGTATAGAGCTGATCAGACCATATGAGAAATGAATCATACTAAACTGTTTGATTGTTTTGTGTAATTTCTTTAAACGAGTTCGGAAATTTGGAACCACTGACGTTTGTCAGTTTATGCTGAAGTAAGATTTCATGATGCTTATTCATACGTTTTGTCTGAATCCTTTGCTTTGCTCTCAGGTTGATCGGTGTATATGTTCACTATGGTCAGGACAAGGTTGATAGGAGTGTAACGGTAAATAAATCCCCTGGACAAAGTTATGTAGGTCTTCGATATTGATGCTGACATAGCTCGTTTTACTGGATAAACCCTGTGTGAAGGCGTGTGGTCACCCATTCGTGGCAGATTGCCATTGGGTATGTAGTAGTATTGGGCCCAGTAACGTTCGTCCGAAATTGAGTTTATCGGATGGCATGGCACGGCCATGCAGGTGTGGCCATAACTTATGTAACATCACTTTTATTCGTACTAAATATATTGTTCTATCTCCAGCTTAAATGTGTTCTCCGTCATATATTGGTGATTGTTACAATGCGATGAGTTCGTGTGGACAATGATGTGACTTTCACGTAATATCTTATAGATTAGGCAGTTACATCATGACGAATCTACAATTTTGGGATTAGGTCTGTTATTAGAGCAGTACCAACAACGAAATAGACCATAATAGTAAAGGTGCGCCACGCTATGCATTTCTCGCAACAACCTAGATCAAACGCTCCTTAACATATCAAAACGTTCCAGAAATATCTTCGAACACATTCATAATGGACTTCTAGTTTGATTGAATTTGGAATTCCTGATTAAAAGGATATCACGGACAACAAAGTTGTCATGATTTGAATATCCATAATATCTTTAAGAGCACACCAATAAGTAGTAACAAATTTGTTGATTACTATTACTAGCTATGGGACTTTTCAAGAACTTACTGGCCAAATACAGCTATTATCCGGTTCAAGAAGTTGTATCACGCTACTTTTGATAATAACTTGGTTTTACGTGCAGTCGTTTACCTTCGGTCCTAGAAACTGGAGGATAGGTTTACAAAACAGTATTTTAAAGCTTAGTATTAGTCATTTGCTTATAAATTTTGCGTTATATCTTGTTTTTTGAATGTTTATTAGAGACCTACGATATTCAATTTGATAGCTTCTGTTTGTAAGCAATAACAGCAACTTACACACAACACATTAACACTTAAGTGTTAACATAGAGAGATGATCTGTTAAAAACATTATATTCGAAGTTGGAAAAGCAATACAGCATGAATCGACACAACTTCATATATATATAATACTTTCAAGGACATAGAAATCTAGCGAGCTAAAAGCAAGGAAAATCAATCTAGGACAACCAGATATTGTGCGTAAAATTGGGTTGGTGAAAAAGGTACTTGTGAGTATCTTTTTTCCCAAAACTTCAGCACTGCTAACACAATATAAGTACTCTTGTGGTCCCCTAACCACACGAAACGTTCTTATCGACATCTTTGTAACTGTATTATCTGCGTTCAGCTTATTTCATTTCATGTTTTTTATATGTCCGTTTCATCAATGCTTATGTTCGGATGCCTATTTATTGTACTCTATTTGAAGTTAAATAAGTCAGTTCACTGACTAATACATTAAGTGGTTCATCCGAATAATCCTTATATGGACGACCAAGCAACGTTATTTCAAGGTTTCTTAATTCACCAGAATGGAACCAAGTCGGCCTAAAACACTTCTCGGTTCAACTCGATCAGCCTCAATACAATATTTTAGGTTGACCGAGACGCACATTTCATTAGAGTCGATTTCCTAGAAATAGGTTAGATGTTTAGACTACTCATTACATTAAATACTAATGACTCACCTTTCGCTCTTAGTTTCTAAACTCTGCTACCCGTATATGATCTTAAGATGTGTATGGGGAATACTAAGTCCTTCTGATACCCTGCCTTTTTCAACTATGGAAACTCAGTCACATCAGAAGTCAGAAACGAGGGGATTCAATGATGTGTCTGGAAAGTTACTGATATGTCGAGAAGCATTTGGTTTATGCTGGTTATTAATTGCAATAAATGCGTATCAAGGCTTAACCACTGGTGATCTGATGCAGATGCGCAATCGAACGCTCTTAGCTAAGTGTATCCAGCGAAACTAGTGAGGTCAGTATCAAACTCAAAGACTATTTATCTTATGGATTTATTTACGGTCTACAAGTTTAAAGAAGAGCAACCAAAAAATTACACTTAATGAAAAACAAAGCAGTATCATATCGCATATAAGCTATACATTTGCGACCTATTGAGTACAGACGGATCAAAGGATGTGGCCATGGTCACCTTCACCCCAAATAGACTACTTACAACTTTCAATATTAAAATAGATTGAAGAAAACACTCGTTGAGGACAGGAGATGAAGGATTAGTATGAAATTTCATGTAAACTTTTCACTGACAGCATCAACAAGTTCCGAAGCCTTCCATCCGAAGTTATAGGGATGGCATGCTCTGTAAAATTATTCAAAAGAAGGCTCGACTCTTACCCAGGTCCTGTGGACACTGAGGGGCGTTATTCTAAGTGTTTCTTGTTCAAATGGTCCAAATGGTTGTGGACGGAATAGAAGAAGCTTTCGTTTAACAGGCTTCCGTGTCTAGTAGCAAGAGATCACCACAAACTCTAGGCAGGAACCTAGGTATGCTGGCAATAAAAGGGGAAAAAGAAATTGGTAAATCATAGTGTCTTACTATCCTTAGTCCTTAAGAATAAATCAAGTTGTCTCTTAAAGGACTCCTGGAGAGTCTCTTGAGTTAGCTCAGCCGGCAGCGAATTCCAGCATTTGACAACTCTCAAGGAGTAGAAAGTGTGTCTACAGTCCGTTCTGCTGTGTTGTGTCTCTGGTTTTTGGGTGTTACCCCTTAGGTTAGTGTTGGAACTAAGCTTAAGTAGGTGTTTGAGAGGATGTCCAGAAGTGTTAAGGATACTGTAAGCCATTAGAATGTCACCTCGAAGACGTCTATACTCTAATGGGTAAAGGTTAGGTGATTGAAGGTGCTCTTCATAAGGTTTAAATTTGAGTCCTCGAACTGATTTCGTGGCTCGCCGTTGGATACGCTCCAGAGTGTCCTTGTCCTTTTGGAGTGAGAGAGGTAATACTACGTTTCCGTCCTCTAAATGGGGACGGATAAAACTATTGAAGGTTACATGGAAAGTTCTTCTGTCAATCTGGCCAAAAATGCGCTTCAATGTTACCAGTGCAAGGTTTGCTCGGAAGGCATTTCTGTCAGAGTTAGCGTTAGACTTTAAATCGTAGGGCACCAGGACTCCTAAATCTTTTTCAACTTTGGATACTACTAGAGTCCAGTTTCCAGTAGTCCCTCCAGTTTGAAGGTTCACATGACTCACAATTTCTGATCACATTATCTGCTACGAAAACTTTGTGTCCACAACATATAATGGCGTCTGAAAGCAGACAACGGTCACCACCGGATACGTAAATCAGAACGACCAAAAGGGTGAAGTATAAATTGGCTTGTTATAACGGTCTAAAACAACCGAAGTAAGCCCAAAAGTCGAACAAAGAGAACTAATAGTTGATGGAGTTGTGTGAAACATACTCATACAATTCTGGTGCACACGGAGAAATTGAACAAGTACATATTTAAAATTTCAGATATGAGTAATAGGTATCAAAATCAATACAATATAGAAAGAATTATACCATTCTGTAACCAAGAATAATTTCCTATTACGCAAATAAAGATCTAAACGAGCAGTTCTCTGCTTCTACTTCTACCTGGTACATTTTGAGGCTCGAAGTATAAATGACTCGACCTTTGCTCGCGGTAGTTTCGAAGAATTCTTTCTGGACCTTGAGTGTGGCCCATGGATCTAAGAAATCACTTCATCGACAAAGAAGCAGAGACTCTGTAGTTTATGATATCCATTCAAGGGAGTCCTTGAAGTCAAAGCAAGTTTACGTTTTTGGTTTCTCAGCAACTGGAGCTCTCGGTAATGAGAAATATCTTGGTCTTCATGGTTTGTACTTGATATGTTAATCTTTCTGATATTGTAATTAGGTAAACCTGGTGTTGGAGGTGTATCACGGCCTACGCCTTTGGAATTTTCGTCGTCTTTAGGTGTTCCGTTAAAAGCTGCTTGTGGATATGGCTTCACAACATATATATGTGGAGGCAGTCATGGGGATTTTGGCGTCTACGGCTGTGGGATCAACAGTGATGGCCAATTAGGATCACAGGTTGTCTATTTTGCAATATCCATGATTCCATAAGTGAAAAATCGGGCTTTTAGAGCCCAAACGAAATATGATGAACTGGCAAACTATTAAGCGTCCAGTGATGACTTTTCGCCAACGAACAGCATTATATTTAGTCACTATGATCTTATTAGTTCGTCTTTTCTTAATCAATTGAAAATGTCATTCAAGAGCATAGTGTCTGATTATGACCAGTAGTCACAGCTTAGATGCACATTACTTTTCCGTGAATCATCTTTGTTGAGGCACATTGTGAATCTTTGCAGTCTTTATCTACTATTCATCGGATTAACGCTATTTATTTGTCATTCTGCTCTGACTGTTAAGTGCCTTTTAGGAACGATGACTTTTTAGTTTATTCCCGTTTGCTTCTTAACGTTAGTAAATTATTCTCGTCCAACATATGGAAGAAATGCATTTGGCACTTCAAGAAAAGAGAAGAGCCTTGCAAAATTAGTGCGCCTGAACACCAGAAAAAGCAAAGTAGACATTCATTTCTGTTCACTTCTCAGTTCTTTTATGTGTATTTATGGGTTATGATATCCGTAATATGGGAGGATTAACCTAATCCACACTACGTAGAGCAGATGGACATATTTTGGCCTACACTTTCCTATCACTTTCTCACCGTAAAGGGCTTTTAAAACTCATTTTTTAGTAGCCAGTCTGTTCGAAAATACAGTTATTCATGTTGAGTAACCATTTTAGTTGTATACCGAAATTTCGTTTCGGAAGTTTATCGGAATTTTCTGGCAGCTGAGTTGTACTTGAGCATATACCCATTTCTACCTAATTCATGGATATAAATAAGCGTTCAGCTAAGTGATGTAGGTAATATCAGTCATTTTTTTAGTATCCATGTATATTACGTTTGATTCAAAGCCGGGTGTACGAATTTGTAAATAACCAATAATTTGCACATTTCTATCTAATTATTTTCTTCGAATGATTGTTTTCCATTGATTTTTAATATGTCGCCTTTCTACATAATATTTATGATGCATTTGGGTACTCCATATTATTGAGCTGGTTTTGGAAGCATCACAATGCATTTTGCTAGCATAGGAGGTTTGTAGAGATTGTAAGTGTCGTGCTCGATCCTTGTTACCAACGTATGATTTGTTGACTTGAACACAGTGGTAACGTTTGCTTCTGGTATAATAATAAATAAGCGGCAGTGCAAAGTTTTGTTAGCTGTGTTATATTCCAAACAAGCTTGTCCTCAAGCAAAGCGATCAGGAAAACAGAATGGGTTAATGAATGAAATTTAAGTATATAAGTATAAATCACCGTACGTGTGTGTAAAAAATGTCTAGACCGAAATATAGTGTCTGAATCCAATGAGAGATCATCAAACAAGCATATACATATATGTATGCACTGGTTAAAGTTCACAATAAATTGTAAGTACGAAATAACCAATCATATTGAAATTATAACACTGATTTGAGAATTTGGCTCATATCTTTTAAACACTGTTCAGGAGAATCGGTATACAAAATAACCAGAAAAAAGTGAATGATTAACCTGTCCGGAAATTAGAACGCGGTTGCTACAAGATTATTAGATCCCTCGACCTTGGCTGGGTTTCGAAAGGCTATAACTAATCTGAAACGAGGAAGAGTGGCTGGTCCAGATGGATTGGCTCCAGAGGTCTCTAAGTATGGTGGTCCAGTTTTAGCGATTAGGTTGACTAATATTTTAGCTAAGATCTGGGAGTTGGACGTAATCCCATCTGACTGGTCACAATCACTGAATGTCCCAATATATAAGAGAGGATCAAAATCACCCTGTGATAACCATAAAGGGATTAGTTTGACTAACATAGCATCTAAAATACTAGCCACAACAATTATCGGGCGCCTAACAAAGATTCGTGAACTACCAACACGAGAAAATCAGGCTGGCTTCATACTTGGTCGTGGATTCATCGATCACATATTCACCATTCGTTAGGTTCTAGAACATAGGCATGCTTATCGGCGTCCAATAATGGTGGTCTTTCTTGACTCTAGACCGAGAGGTTCTCGGGCATTGTCTGTCATTGAATGGCGGCGTACCTCAGAAGTACATAAACTTTGTGGAGGCTCTTTACTCGAACACTACTAGTCGAGTCACAGCTTATGGAGAACTGTCGTTTGCTTTTGCAGCTTCAAGTGACATCCTTCAAGGCTGTACACCATCTCCATTTTCGTTCAGCTTCATCATAGACCTGCTGCTGGAAGCAACGTCTTCGTCCACTGAATTCTTGGGCATTGATTTCCTATCAGGAGGTCAACTTATCGACTTAGAATACGCAGATGACATTGTCCTGTTTGGTGAAGACGCTGATAAAATGCATTTTTTCGGTAGCACCGAGCAACAATGCCAGGATGTTTAGGTTGCTCTTCTCTCTCTCTAAATGCAAGTTGTTGCTCCAAGACTGACCTGCGTCAACAACTGAACTAAGGATAGGGAGCGAAGTAGTCGAACGCGTCGACAACACTTATCTTGGAAGTCTGATTAGCCCAAATGCATTGGTGTCTGACGAAATCTCAACACGGATTCAAAAAGCTCATTTGGTTTTTGCCAACTTACGTGACATATGGCGAAGGCGAGATGTGCGTCTACCAATTAAGGGATGAGTATACTACGCGGAAGTTCGTTGTCTTACTTTATGGCTGCGAAATGTAGCCATTAAGTGTAGAAGATACTTGTAAGCTACTAGTATTTGGCCACAGACGCCTTAGAAATATTGCTCGCATCTGCTGGTGTTAGCGGGACAGACTAGATTAAAGCATGCTCAATGCATGATTGCTTTGATGCACGCTGATTGGCTAATTCTTGTCCAATCAGCACTAGTCGATAGTTGGAGAATATTCTGGATTTTTCTTATGTAAAAACTATAAATATACTGACGTTTTCTCTATTGTGCTTCCTACTGGCTTCTGACTTGCTATTTGGAATATAATCTTCTTCCTGTTCAACCGTGTTCTGATTTGGGGACTTGTCGAGTGAATCGGTGTCCGAGAATACTAAGCAATAGGAATAGCTGGGCCATCAACCGTAAGAAAGCAGGATTATAACTGCTGGGAAGTGAGGTTTGACACGAAGTATTAGGGAGTGATGGTAAATCAGTCGATGAGGCTGTAAATTTTCATCGACTAAGATGGTTCGACCACGTGTCACGACGTATGCCTGAACACCGATTACCACGACGCGCAATGATGACTAGTGTTGGAAACGGATGGAAGAAATTTAGGGGCGGCCAAACCAAAACGTGGCGTCAGTGCTTGAAGTCACTAACTTGTAGTCTGAGCCATGTTGGTAGATGAAGACTACTTAGTCGGGCTCCGCGCGACTATTGTAACCAATGGTTGGAGACTCTGAGTGACATGGCTCAGAACCGATCACAGTGGCATTGGTGTATACACTCTTCGTCTTTCCTTAAACTAAGAGATTAAAATCACTTTATACCTTTCTTTGTACGAACTAATTCTTTCTCCCTGTATTATATCCTCATACATAATCTTTTATATATTACTGTCATTGAATTAACTACTTCTATGAATTTGGTAACCATCTTGTTGTGCTAATAAGGTATGGCAACTTGGATCGACGCATATATGCCTGTTCCTACGTTGTAGCTGACTGACTGACAAGATTATTAGGTTTCCACAAACTACTCTAAGTTTGACCGTCACTGAAAATCAGGAAGCAGTGGATGGCTGTTTCATCCTAGTATGAGATTCTTCAACAGAACCCCCCCACGAATTTCATAGGGTTTCAAACCCGGGACATTCGACTTACCGCATGAGCGCCTAACCTCTTAATCACAACCAGAACCTAACGATGAACATCTAACTTTGATCATATCACAATATCGTGCGATCATCTTTCATTGCCAGTTGTGGATAACTGTCTTGTACTCGACATGGTTGAACCGCATGGCTTATCATTCGAACTTTGAATTCCATTCAGAAGTTGGTCACTAGTGAGCACAGGATTACTGTTAGTATGGGAATTTTCATTATCCACATTTACTATCACAAGATAGGTGGAGTTCCAAAGTCACCTCATGCCTTTTGGTCCCGCGAATTCATTATTTCCCGAAACATATTGTCTGTGTTTACGCTTTGATTTTTGACATTTTCGTCACATTATACTAATATAGTGTGGCAAGTTGAACCGATGCATATATGTACGAGGTTCTACGTTGTGTATGACTAATTCACTGAGATTAAGCCACACTGTCTATTGGCATTTTACATTTATTGACTCCAAATCAATCTTCTCGGAGTTTTACTGATATTTTTAGGTTTTTCCCTAAAACTACTAAAACATTGAGCTATTTGGTAAAATCACTTTGATTTGTTCAATGATTGTAAGGAGCACTTTATTACTAAAGATAAATAACCACTCATTTCATTGTTAGTGAGCACTCAAACCATCGACCAAGATTCTGTTTATAGCATCCCTAATTAGAGTTTCATCGGGTTACAATGTAGTGAGTCATCATTTTAGAGAACGGATTGTGGATTAATTATCGTCTACGACATTTGCTAAAGACGTTATAGTATTCATGTTTAGATTAATGTACGCTAATAGAGCTGTAACTCATGAGTTTAAAAGCTAGATTTTCAAAAAGTTCCATCTATCAATTTTTGTGCACTCGTTTAATGAAGTTGACATTTACAGACTAAGTAAGACATGAAGTTTCGTGTAAGACTTAAATGTAATTAGTGAGTTTCATTACTTCCACTTCAGTTGATCATAGTTATCATAAAAAAGCTTTGGCTTCGCGATCTTTCGGGTCTAGCATCAGTTGATTATTGATACCTCCAGGTAAAGACCTAGTTATATGAAAACAAGCAGAAATACTCAGTAAATCGGTATCAGTCAGTTACGCAACGCAGAAGACAAACATTAAATCTGCTTGAATATTATACCAACCTACCTTGAGGTGAACACAACTTTGATGATTAATTATTTTAGTTGTTCCTGTAATGTAGTTTTGACTTTCTCGTCGTTAGGCTGAGCTATAGGGAATATTTCTGCTGTTCCTCTACTGTGTCCACTTTAACTCAATAAACTCGCTCTCAAAAAGTATGACCATAGTCTGCGGACGTGCTCTAGAATGAACGTCAGTCTTCCATTGAGCTTCTGTAACAATCCCCGATGGTGATATGGTCTATTTGCGTTCGTCGTCGAGTCTATTTTGTGGGGGGTTGTTATGTCAGACTATGTAAAACCTCACATTAAGTCTTTCAGAAATTATTAAGCTTTCGCTTCAAAGATTCTGACGAAGTTTCTTGAGTGAGGTAGTAAGTTCTAAAACGACTAATTCTGGAGTGAGATAGATGGATACATCCCAACCCGGTACGTTAGAAATCCAGCTCACGGGTCTTCCCTCCATGGTCAATGTTAGCAATCAATTTAAGTGCTCCACATGATGTCTGGGAGTGTTTATGATATAGAAGTCATGAGATTTCCCCTAAGTTGTTTACATTCTAGGGGATATAGATTTAGTGTTTTCATACATTCGTTGTAAGATTTTAAACTTAGGGTCACAAGCTGATCTTGTGGCTCAATTTTGTATGCTTTCCCGAGTATTTATGTCACTTCGAAACGGAGGAAACACTTTTATTACGTTGCGTGAAGCTGATAAAACCTAAAAATCAAATGGAACTTTTACTATAAAATTATAGTCGACGGTTTTCGATTCACACCTAGAGACGAACATTATTATATTGACTGACTTCAGGCTATGGTAAAGATTTAGTATTATTTAATGAATTTTCCTTTCATTTTAGTCGGTTGGATTAAAAACCAAACTTCCTACAGGCAACTCAGTAAATGTTGTTCCTGAACTTGTGAGAATTGCTATCTGTCTTGATAATACGCAAAAACAAATATATCGTCCTTCTCATGTGGCATGTGGTCGAGCACATACTATTATATCCTATGAAAATTTGAAAGAGTCGAATAGTGATACACCTCCTCTTGTTTTCAGCCTGGGTAACAATGTTTTTGGGCAGTGTGGAAGAGAAATAATTCCTGGCGAAAAGTACGATCGTGATGTAGAAGTTATAACAAAAATAGTCTTGCCACCAGAAATAAAATCTATCAAACAAGTATGTTGAGGAATTTATAAGTTAGTTTGCACTTTGAATTTGTATGTAATTATTGGGTCATATTTGGCTAACCTTAGTCTCCATTTATTTCTGTTCATAGTTTCGACTTTGTAGTCAGTTTTAGTAGTTTTGACAATAATCGGTTTTCGTCTGTCATAATGCTTATTTTTAATGCTAGCTTACTGAATCAATCGTTCTATACATCCTATTTCACTCTTTAGTTTGCCTTTAATTAATGCAGTCAGCCAAAACTTGTATAAAGATGATACTCCAGTATAGCTCTTCAGATTTGTTTAGCACTAAATTACGCCTGTTACTCCCAATGGAGCATAGGCCGCCGACCAGCATTTTCCAACCCACTCTGTCCTGTGCCTTCCTTTCCAGTTCTATCCGATTTTTGTTTTTTTTCCCCATGTCTTTCTCCATTTCTCGGCGTAATTTATTCTTTCGTCTTCCTCCTTCACTTTGGCCTTGAGGATTTCATGTGAGGGCTTGCCTTGTGACGCATTTGGGCGCTTTCCTCAATGTGTGTCCTAAATAAACTTGTTTAAAACGATACTTTGGTTGAGTTGAGTCTCCAAGATGTGTATAAAACAAAACCTCATGTCAAATGAGAAGTAGAGAGTGTAGTGTCAGTCATTATTTCAAGCCCATAATATATCTTATTCTAGTTTTTGGACAAACCAATCTATTCATTCTACTTGAGTCATATTTTGACCCTGTTAATCATTAGCTTATCAGTCTTGACTGTTTTTATATGAGCGTATATGTGTGCACACTACATATCCCATGTCTCATCACATGTCTGTAGTTTATTTTGTCTGCCTATAAATATTGAGTAACACCTGGCTAAAAATGGGTTGGCTTACCAGCCATTTCCCCTGCGTGTCGTTTTGCTGTGTTCTATCACGTTCACTTTACATACAAAACATATGTATTCAAAGGCCATTCTCGTTAATTGACTTATCTAAATTCCGTTATTGACTAACGTGATTTAAGTCGATAATTGTATACGAGGATAGGTGATAACGAACATTTGTACGATCTAAATGGAGTCAGATCAACGGGCTACTAAAAGAGAATTACGGGTAAAGGACTACTTCACAATTGTAGATTTTTATTCTAACATTTCATATGAAGTACATATTAAACTTTGGTCTTTTAGTTAACTACCAAACAGTTGCATTCACGATAAATAGAAAACTACCCAACAATGTTTTTCCTATGGTGGAGAAGATTTGTAGCTCAGTTGGATGATTTTGGTGGAGTTTTGTTCCCTGAGCTGGATGGTTTGGTTGTGGAGCTCCCATCGTTATTCTGAACGACATCATCAAGATCGAGGTCTATAGGACAAGCTGTGAACTATATGTGGAGAAATTCGAACATTTCACTTCTACCTGAAGTCTGCGTTGTTGATGTCGTTCAGAATAACGATAAAAGCCCCACGACCAAACCATCCAACTCAGGGAACAAAACCAACAAAATGTTTTCCTTACCATATTTTCATGATCACTGTCTATGTTGCAATTAACCTAGCATCGGAAAATTACTTACTAAGGTCGTCATATTTTACTTTGTTGTTTTTCATAGTTAGTTTGCGGTCAAGACCATACCTTGTTACTCAGCTCAGACGGTGTTGTTTATTCCTGTGGACTTGGATCAGATGGTCAGACTGGTTTAGGTCATTATAATGTGGTTGATCGATTTACTGTTGTAAAAGGTTCATTGGTAAATGAACGTGTTTGGTAAGCTCTTAAAACTTTGTTCCGTTTAACCCGGTGTTTAAGTTCAAAATCCATAAACTTTAGGCTTCATAAAGCACTTTATATCGTACTTGTTCATAGACTGTGAACAAAATATTTCTCATCAATTCATTGTCCATACATTATTTTTTACCCCATATGACATCACGGCCATGTAAGCAAGGGTGTGCTTACAGTTTACTGATCATAATCAAGAGGTACGGGGTTTCTTCGTGCTAAACACATCAAAATATATTATAAGTTTTGTACATCCGGCACGATCACATACTTGAACCCATGTTCAGTAATACCTTGAAATAGGCATCTGTCAGCCTGTATAATAAACAGCAGTTTTTTATATCTCAAGGTTATTTAGACGGTACATAATTATTATGAACATTACTAATGTAATCGGCCTCTTCTCGAAAACTTTAAAACATTTGCAAAGACCTATCTGTCGCTTCAAAAGGCTTGTTCTACGTGCGTTTGTCCGGGGACCCTGTGGCATCTTCGTCTGGTCTTGCTCGCCTTGTTGTCGCACTAAGCGCCAAAGCTGAGGCAGCACTAATCGATTGGATCCCCATTAACAGTCGGTTATGTGCTGTTAGATTAGAAAGTTCCATCAAAGTGAGAAGAAATCGGCGTGAGAAACGATGTCTTCTCGTCATCTCCGCCTATGCCCCGACAGATTGCAGCCCGGATGCAATCAAGGATGATTTCTACCACCAGTTAACTGGTCTGCTCTAGAAAATGCGTTCGACAGATATTGTAGTACTAGCCGGAGACTTGAATGCTCAGGTCGGGCGTCTAGGCACAGAAGAGAGTTGTTTAGGTGACCGATGGGGACTTGTTGGTCGCAGAACAGATAACGGGGACGGGGACCGTCTACTGCAACTGTGCATAGACCACAACCTGTTTCTGACTAGCACTAACTTTCGGCACAGTCGTCGCCGAAGTTCCACCTGGCGTCCTCCCTCTGCATCTCAAGCCTGGACTCAGATTGATCACATCGCGATCAGCTATCGCTGGCGTGGTTGTGTACAAGACTGCCACTCCTTTTGGAGTACCTATCTGGACTCTGATCTGCGCCAATCTTACCTAACTTTTCATTGGCTAACAAAGTGACCACCACCAACAGATTGATATTAGCAAGCTGGTTGCAACTTCTGTTGCTAGTAAGTATCGAACCGAGCTAGCTTCTAGGCTAGCTACCATTCCACCGAAAAGTGTAGATGAGCATTGGTTGCAACTTCATGACGCCATGGAAACGGCAAGTAAAGCCGCTTGCGGCTTCGCGAACCGTCCTGCTTATAAGCACTGGGTTTCTTCTGGTTCCTTACAACTCATTGAAGCCCGTCGGTCTACTCCGGGTGACCGTGAGTTTGACCACAAACGAAGGCTGTTACGTGATGAAATCGGGCAAAGCTTGCTTAAGGAGCGAGAAGTCTGGTGGTCGGAGCGTGCTAATGAGCTGGAAGCAGCAGCTGCATCTGGTAACTACCGGAAGCTCTTCCAATTCATCTGAGCCACTGGCAGCAAGAATTGTGGTGTGAGCGAAACAATCTTCGAGGATGATGCGATGCCAATCACTTACATCCATCGACGTCATGGACGATGGGCAGAACTCTTCGAAGGGCAGTTCAACTGGCCTGCTGCTCCGGCAACATCGGTCAGACTGTCCTGCCCTCCATGGCCGGTGACGACTGATCCACCAAATGAGGCGGAAGTCCGCAAGGATCTCCAACTCTTGAAGCGTTACAAATCACCTGACCCAGATGACTTACCTTTGGCCCTTTTTAAAGATGGTGGTGACTTTCTGGTTAAGGAACTGTGTTGTTTACAAAGGTCTGTGAACTAGAGAGTTTACCAACGTCATGGAATGAGTCGATAGTTGTCCCTATCTTTAAAAAGGGTTCACGTCGTTCCTGTAACAACTATCGGGAGATAAGTCTACTTCCGATTGCGTCCAAGCTATTGGCTTCCGTCATTCTTCGTAGGTTGTTCAAAACTCGAGAAAGATTGACTCGCGAGCAGCAGGCTGGGTTTCGTTCTGGTCGAGGATGTATTGATCATATCTTCACCCTCCGCCAAATGTTAGAACACCTTCATACTTATCAAAAACCAACAATTGTAGTGTTTCTTGACATCAGGGCTGCCTTCGATTTGTTGGACAGGACTGTTCTCTGGGATCGTTTGTTGAAGAAGGGTGTGCCTGAGAAGTTTATTAACATCCTAAAAGCCCTATATACAAACACCTCAGGCAGAGTGAGGGCATACAACCACCTCTCTCCATTGTTCCATTCGAGCAGTGAGGTTAGGCAGGGTTGCCCAATCTCACCAAGTTCGTGTATCTAGGTAGCTGCATAAGTGCTGGTGGTGGCGTGAGTGATGAGATCAATGCACGTACAGTGAAAACCAGAGCGGCTTATGCCAATCTGGGCCATCTTTGGCGCCTTCGTGATGTCGGTCTGTCTGTAAAAGGTCAGATCTACAACGCGTCGGTGAGAGCAGTTTTGCTCTATGCTTGTGAAACCTGGCCTCTCCGAGTTGAGGATGTTAGACGACTCTCTGTGTTCGATCATCGTTGTCTTCGAAGATTCTCTTTTTTTTCTTATACCCACCTTACATTCTTTTTCTCTTCCCATTTTCATTGTTTTGTGTGGCGCATATATATCTGGTGCCCCCTTGTACCAATATTTATGTGTTCAAATAAATAAATAAGTAAATATAATTCAGCTTCCAACCAAGTGGTTGTAAGTTCAAATTCTGTTCCATCTACTTCAGTTCGGGCGGATGGATAATGTCATTAGTCCTCATGCATACATTTTGATTCAGACCGTAATGCAAAAGCTCGTGCCATAATTATGAGCAAATCATTTTATAGAAGAACAGCTTTAGATGAAATCATGAGAAAAAACCTTGAAAACTCTATAATCTCATGTTTACTGAATAAATTCAAGTTCATTGCTGTGATTTGTTTTGTAGTACAAGCTAGCCACTAGTCTGGTAATTTACTGAGACCCTTTTGTTGATTCTTTTTAATGTGTTGTAGTGAGAGTAAAACGCAGTTGGCCATTGAGTGTGGACAAACATGTAGCTAACTTACTGACTCAAATATGTATTTTCATTTCCTCTTATTGATTTCTGATCTGAACTCACTGAGATTGACTACTTGGAACGGTGTGGAGTAAATTAATATCTTTCGTTATTCTAGTTCTCTACTTTTGGTTGTGAGTTGTGTATGTGATATAACGTGATCTATTCTCTGTATTGTTTACCGTTCAAATATCAATCTAGCGTAACGTAGTATACTGCAGAGGGAAAAATATTTTAAACCATCCAACCAACCATTTTTTAAACATTGACATCAGATAAAATTGTATCTTTTAATAAGTGGTTATACTGTTTCACTTTACTACGAGTTATAAGGATCTTTTTGGATCTAATTCTATTCTTATTGATATCTCTCGGACTTATTGAGCTTTAAATCTTCTAATTATTCATATTTGACTCCTAATTATTTTATTATTATTCCAGTTTTATTTCATTTGCTGGTATCTCTTACATTCTAGTTAATCCTGTCCGAAATTCTATTATTGATATTACTGATAATTATGGAAAATTGTATGACGTTGTTTAACAGTTAACATTTCTGACATTTTTATACCGAGTGAGTTAACAGTAACAATTGTTTTGAATTGTTCTTTTTTTTTAAAAAAAAAAGTTTGCTATCGTCTCGCGGTGATACTGTTCTTGCTCTTACTGAATCAAATAAATTATTTGCTTGGGGTAATAATGAATACGGTCAAATATGGCCATTAGATCAAGATGTACAAGTTTCAGAACCTGTTCACTTAAATTTAGATCATTGTATTGTACCAGCAGAATCTAATTTATCTTCGGATAATGTTCATGTAGGTGAAATACAATCAATTGCTTGTGCCGGTTCTATGTGTTGTATTGTTAATAAAATTGGACAGGTAAATTTAATTATTTTATAGGTTAATTAAAAATTGTATTTTAATTTAATTTAGTTTTTCATTTCAAATTATATTGATATCATTAATTGTAGAATATTTGATCATTTTGATATAAGATAATTAATAAGGAAACAATCTAGAAAATGAAGCTTATTATATTCTTTTACAACTTAGTATTCCTTGACCTGTATACTTCTCTGAACTTTTTTGAATCAGAACAAGAATTGAGAAGGGATAATAGTTTGTTCCAATAAACTTAAAAAGACCCACTTTTAGAAACATTCAAGTTTGCATAGAAATTTTCTAGCCTATCCTCAATTCGTTCAGTAGCGCTAGTTGGTTGGAAAAGTCAATGCTTGATTTTAACTTAAGTGCTGACTGACTAAGTGTTAGCGGGACTGGATTAAAGCATGCTCAATGCACGATTGCTTTGGTGCACGCTGATTGGCTAATTCTTATCCAATCAGCACTAGTCGATAGTTGGAGAATACTCTAGAATCTTCTCATGTAAAACTATAAATATACTGACGTTTTCTCTATTGTGCTTCTTACTGGCTTCTTACTTCCATCTAACCTTGTTATTTGGAATATAATCTCTTTCCTGTTCAACCATGTTCTGATTTGGGGACTTGTCGAGTGAATCGGTGTCCGAGAATACTAAGCAATAGGAATAGCTGGGGTCATAACCGTAAGAAGAGAGGTCTATAACACTAAGTATAGAATAGTCAGAGCTGTACCTTACTAAAAGGGCTGTCTTCAAACTAATATCTATACTTGGGATATTACGAGTGTATCATTAGTTCTATTATCGTTGGACTGAATGGTTATCATTGTCCATTAATATAATGACTAGATCTGATGGTTTCTGATACACAGCTCCATTGAAAATCTCAACATGATAAGTCTGGAATATGATGTACCTACAACCGCAATGTAAGTAATGGTTGCCATTGGAAAGTGCCACCTGTTTGTAATACAAGGAAACTGACCAGTTAGTGTTGAGCGATGGTTTAGTGGTTATAAAGCGCCTACCTTTTAAGTAATAAGTCGCCGGTTAAAGCCCTTCACTTGTTTTAAGTAACCAGGTAGTTTCATTAGTTGTCATGCAGTGTGTTTCATAACCAAGTAACCTACATTAAAATCAGCCCAGTAGCTCGATAGATTTTCAATGAAATGCTGAGTTAATGGTAAATTAGTCTAGTACCTTTATTGCGGTGTTAAAATATGAACATTTTACCATGCATATGTACTTATCTTTTTATCGGTGATAAAAAGATATTAATTAAAACGGGAGATAACATAAACTTAGGATCCAGTGCCATGTAATTTATAATTTCTTAAAAATGACTATGGCTCTATTGACATCTACGCTTTGTCAATATCATTGCGTTGATTAGACCATTGAGTTCCTTTTTTCATATCCTTGCCTACAACCCCACAAACGTCGTTTAAAATTGTAAGAGATATCTTTAAAAACAATTCACATCACGAAATTACGTTGACTAGAGAAGGAATCACTAGACAGTTGTTTCGCTCTAGTTCCTAGATTTGACAGTGCTCACTCACGACCATATATGAAACCGACTTCAGAAGCTTCAGATGTTATTGCTTACACAATAGCTACAAATCATTGATTTTGAAGCTAATGCTTTACATTCTCAACTATATTCTGTTATGCATTTCTTCTCTTTCCCACTGAATACAATAAGTTTACCAATAACATTTTCTGTATATCCCGAAATAGTGTATTACCTACATAGAGTCCCAAACTACCAGTCAGGAAGACTAGAAAAGTACTTCACTCTTTTCTGTATCATTCAAACTCGATTAGTTTACTTGAATTTACGAACGGTAACAGTTATTGTTTTAAATAGTTTACAATTCAGAAATATATCAAAATACCATAAACTAATTTCTCGATACATATATATTAGAAATATATGTTCTGATTCACTGGAGAATGGGTTTCAAGTTTCTCATTTTCATTTGTTTACGTATTCACCCCCCCCCATTTTTGTGAAGGATTATCGTTCATGGAGGCTTATACATTTCCAACTTGGTTTAGATTGAATTCTTTGTATTTATGATCTTGATCTCCTTCCTGTCTCTTGTTTGCGTATATCTACGAAATATTTTATATGAGAAATAATGTGATTGATTATAGGTTTACGGTAAAACCATAGTTTATTTGATATATCATTTTGAACGTGACTGATCCACAATGATGAAGCTTTATCACTAGATCTTCGAGAGTTATCCACAAAACTGGTTTCTCTAACAAACATATAGACAGTATTATTACTAAAGCGGGTTTTGGGAGATTAGTCCAATCGAAAGAAATAACTTTTCGCCACTGCTTGGTTTTCAGTTATTCGCCAACTAATGACATATCTGTTCATCATTAGAACTGTCTTCAAGTTGAGCAAGTCTCCATAAATTTCCATATCTTGTTTAATACTATTTTTTTGAAAATTATGCTCTTATCACTAAAAAACATAATGCATTGTACTTCAAACATTTTATTTCTTATATGTATTTATATCTAATCAAGGTATTCGTTTGGGGCTTTGGATGTATTGGATTAGGTCCAAAGGTTACTTGTTCACCTCGTCCAACGTTGATTCCACCTGGTTTATTTATACCAGCTATCGTAAATAGTGAATCTTGTATTAATTATGTTGCTGCTGGTCTACATCATTTTATTGCCCAAAGTAATGATGGTTTATTATGGGCCTGGGGTGCTCCACGTGGTGGTTTATATTGTCTAGGCTTAGGTAAACAAATTACAAGTAATTCTGTTAATCAAACCTACCCAGTTCCATTACTTCTTCCAATTAAATCTAAAGATGTAGTATGTGGTGTTGATCATACTGTTGTGATTGGCAAATCATTTGGTTAATATTTGCTCATTGTTCATATATTATTTATTGTAAATATGTATACATTTCCTCACGGAACTAGCACTTTAACAAAAAAAATGTTTATATATATACGATCGTACAGCTGGATAATATATATATATAAATATATATAAATATAAATATATATATATATATATATATATATATATATATATATATATATATATATATATATATACTGTAATTCTATCCTTCTGTATTACAAACTATTATTCAAGAATTGTATGTTTGATAGTTCAGTCTGTATTGTATTATTCGCATTACAATTTTGTATAATAAAAATACATTGGCAAAATATGTTTTACTTATGTTCTGTTTTGTAGTTAGCTTGATTTGTTTTATTAGCTTCATTTACTTATCATTTATTGATGCTCTTATTCTTTACATTGAATTTAAATCCAGTAGATTCATGTAACAATACTCTTAATAATTAGTTATTTTTCACATTGTTTATTTAATACACAAAATGTATCTATTAAATAAATCTGTCAACTAGGAATTGGGATTATAATAATGTCTCTTGATTACTACACCAACAAATTCATGAAGTAGATGGACTACTAGGATTTGAGTTTCTGACCTTGTTGTTGAAAATCAAGTACTCATTAAGCTATTGGTTCACATTTCTGAGAGAATGACTGCTATCTTTACAAGAAGGAGAAGAGTAGGAAATTGAGCAATATGACATTCAGTATGATTGGGTTTATTTTTATAGAATATTTAGTTTCCGGAAGTCAAACTAAAAAGTAAGATACGTTTACCTAGTTAAAGTATATTGTTTGTCATGTTTATCCATTGCGACTGTTAATTAACAAATCAATATTTGGATATTTTCATCTATACCACCCATAACTAACTTCTAACGAAAATTGGCCGCCTATTTATCCAGTCATTTCTTATAATTCGGATTTATCTTCAATTATTTTGATGCTAAATATACCTCGACTATCAAAATTTATTCATATGTACTTTTAAATTTATAACAGAAACGATTAATAATAAACATATTTTCGTTATTTAATATTTGAATTCATGAGTCGATTAAAGCTAGACCACCATGGAAAACCTGCAAGCACTGGACAGTCGTTTCGTCCTAGTAAGGGACTTCTCAGCAGTGTGCATCCACGATCCTGTTCGCGGGACTCGAACCCAGGACTCTCTATCTCGCGCGCGGACACCCAACCTCTAGACTACTGAGCTGGCATCCAACGGTGTTAATGTCTAACTTCAGCCAATACGCGAAATCGCGCCACCGTCCACCATCTCAGGTATTGATGTTTGAATAAGCATGTGTAAGCACATGGGACTTCCCACGCCGTGTGGTCTATTCTTCTCCCGAAGCGCTCCTATCTTTTCATCGAGTTTCTTAAACGGTAGAAGTTACTGCATACTGACCTCTTTCTCTCTAGGAACATGACTTCTAAATAACCTATAAGGTCATACTACACTTATTTGTTTCCAAGAAACCTTTGGTAGTTGCGGGTTGTATAGAGGATACTGTAGCTTCTTATCACTTAAATTTGGCCTCACATTTTATCTCCACTCAAGTAGTATCAAAACTCTAGCAAGTTGAAACTAAGAGACCAATTGCATATATATTTTGTTCAGGGAGGAAAGCATTGCTCTAGGATAATCTTTTGACAAATTCGTACTGATGGTCTAAAACTAAAGGTTTCCAGAAAATTTAGAAACTGGGAATTTTAACAGACTCGCGTCAGTTGCTTATTAGCAAATGTGTTCATTAAAATAAGTCACCTAATAACATGTATAGGATTAATGAATATTTGATTTCCTGGTATTTGTTAGAAAGAGACAAAAATAGCTACAATTTAAGTGTTAGCTATTACCATTATCACCTTTGAAAACAATCTCATTTCTTTGTTTGTGTTGTGACTTGAACTTGGGTCGATTTTTACCCCGTGCCAATTGTTGTGTCCTTGACTGAAAAGATTAGAGAGCAGTGTATTATAGATCGAATCAGTGACACGTAAAACACGCACAAACGGCCTAAAGTCCTGCTTCCCTGTCTAGCCCAGCCAGTTGAGTCCAGAACACAAGTCACAGCCTCTGAGATATGAATCATTATATTTCAGACATACTCTGTTTATATACCAATCAGACAAACCACATCGTACCATAAAATAGAAAACAACATTTGTACAATATTTAACAAGTGAAACAAATATTGACCAATAGGGAATGTTCATTTAAAGTTCAGGGACACCATTAGACTTAACATGATAATTATTGGTACATTCCTCTGCATCCCTAACAGTTTAAAGATATTTCGTTCACACTCAGCGTTTGTAAGAGAAGCTAAAGCGATATGATTTTGAAGTGCCCCTAAAATAGAAAATTAGTCTGACCGCCCAATTAGTTGTTTTCATCTACCTTCACAGTCACCTCTGTTTAAAATGTTAAAGTAAATACTATTGGTTCTCACAGTTGATCAACGACTCTGTTATTGCTTAATCACATAGTGAACAAGTTATTTACACAAATGGGTCTTTATTTTTATATTGACGTTGATTGAATGGGTTTGTTAAATAGAAGTTCACAGTCCTCCTCAACTCAAATTTCATTACAACTGCTGAAAGTACTTTAAAATTGCCAGTTATTTTTTGATTGTATAAACTAGAGCTTAAATTAACGATTATCAACATCCAAGCAATTGAGTTTGTTTTATATTTCCAGTGGCATCGTATATTTTTACTATCTTTGTGATTCATACCCAGCTATTCTCAGCACTTATTTTAACTATCCGAGATCTGAAGGGTTTTAGGCTTGTGAACGATTCGAGAGAATTTTATTTCTGTTTGTTCCCTTCTACTTTGCTTGGTTTGGCTATGGGGTTAGTATTAATAGATCACAAATAAACTGATATGAAACAGTTTGCATAAAAATCCTACTTGGTAAGTAAGTATACGTAGTTATTGCTAAAAAAATAAGTCATAGAATATACTAGATGAGTATGGATTTTATTCATGTTTTCTAGTATCATATTACTGTGTTTGGTGATGTCGCTTACTAACACTTCATGGTTATATTTGGAATTGTAATTTTGGTTTAATCTTTTTAATATTTCTAGATAAAGAGGTGATTAACAACTTTGTATGATAAAAGTTGTTTTTAAGACAGTTATATCTATGTTTATATAATTTTCAACACTGCAATTATCGTCAAAATTTTATCATTCAACTGCCACATATTATTACGTCCTGTATTTCTTCGATTATGTCAATGCAATTCACTATCCAATTTTCCATTGGAGAAATATAATGCTTATGATATATTAGGTGTAAAACAATCTGCAACTTTTAGCGAAATTAAATCTGCTTATTATGATTTGTCGAAATGCTTACATCCAGACCGATTACTTCATACTAATCCGGAGAAATTGAGGAGGGAAGAATTTCAATTAGTCACGGCTGCCTATGAATTACTTCGTGATCAGGAAACTCGATCACAGTATGATCGATATTTAGCAAGTAATTGCTTGGTCCAAACAGATAAAATCGATGTAAGTCTTAGAGATTGAAAGTTACTTCCTTTCCTCACAATAGGGTGTTACGAAAGTTGTTGGATTTTAATTTTCAAATCACAATTTTGCTAAGCAATCACTAAAGGACCGTTTCGTCCCGTCGTGGGACTCCTCAGTGGCACACCCACCGAGTGGTCGAACCTCAAGGTCTTGCAGCCTTACTATGAGTGCTCAACCTTCAAGTCATTCGGTTGAAATCCAGTGGTTTACATTTATAACCACGATCAATCCACGATATTACACAACTATCGTCCATTACCATCGGTGGTATTTATCTCACACTTGACAAGTTTCTGCTTTATCCAAATGAAATTCACCGTATCTATATTTCAGTCAGCTCAATGAAATTTCCAATTAGGCTTCGATTAGTTTATCTTGTGTATAAATTTTGTTAGGTTTGCATTCATTTTGTTGTTGAATACTTTAAATCAGTTTTTAATTGAGAATTAGTGAACTGAAGATCATATATATATAACAGAATTCATGCCAGTTTACAGGCATGTTGAGCTTGATATAAATGGTAACATTAAATGCAGAGAACAAACATGTGGTATAATAATGTCTTAAGTTTACTAGTTCAAAAATTGTTTAGGTAGTACATTTATGACATGTATTACATCAGTGAAATGCATCGACCGGGAACTTTCAATTCTTAGGTGGACATACTGTTGATGTATGGACGGTACATTTCAGGTCATTTTCTGCACCATAACGGATTGATTATAACCATCTGTAACTATAGGAAATAAAGTAGAAGCGGAGAGCACGCAACAAAAACGGCAATAATTATTACGATAGGTTAGTTAGGTCTACCATAATACATATGTCAGGTTATTTTCTGATCTAAAGATTTTTTCAAATTAGCTAGGGTTACCAGAGACGGTGTTAACATAAAGTAACAGTAAGTAGATGGTTTTACTTAGTGAATTCAGTAACAAGAATGGTTAAACATTTAAAGTTCCTATGATTTCACTTGTGAAATAAGATACACTTACAGGTGCTAGAACATTTAGTGCACTTTCAGAGGAGCAGCGAACAAAGGATGGGAGTGATTTTATCTTACGGATAGATTGTGGTAGATTATTCCAGAGTCTGGGAAATTTACAGGTAAAGTAATTCATATAGAGAGATAATTTAGAATGGGTTTGTTTCACTAATGACAAGGAGTTACGGATGATAAACTGTTCTGTTTGTGTGTAGGATGTAGTATTGATGTACACATATTGTTTTAAAGTGTTTATATCGGTTGGTAATACAATCTAGTCAATCTGAACACTAAGAAATGTTTTTCTTCCTATTTGCAACACATTTTCAAATCAAAATACTGCCATGTCATGAAGTATTTGCTATGTAAAGAAATGTAACACTTAACAAAATATTTGATTTGTTATGTAGTTGGGGTTAATAATCACGAAGGTCCTGGACATAAGTGTCGTGAGAGTTGGCTGTTTTCAGTAAGTGATACATACAATCTTGAGGAGGCTGATGCTCCCTGGTGAATTCGGACCCACTTTATTTAGTTTCATAATCTAGGACGTTGTCGCTGAGCTATACTAATCACAGCTAACCTCCCATAGTAATAAGGTACACAGATCCATTAAGTATCAACCAATGTCGTCTTTGTCTAATCTAATCGATAGGATCTAGCCATTACTCAGTGATCAACCAACTTTTGGTTTGTTAAAATCAGTAGGTTGGACAATTATGTTACGTAACTTCAAATTTATCTTTCACTAGCTCACACGGAGTTCGATAATGACTTTCTCAGTCCATCTGTTCTATAAAGGTATATCTCCTTGTTTCTTCAAAATATGTGTTTATTCTTTTTTGTTGGTTTTATCTATTTTATTTATATTGGGAATCACAATATAACCCACAACCGAATAATATTTTGGCATTCCAAGGTGTTACTGTACGAATATCTTTTTGGAAACGTTTACGTTTTCTGTAAATTATATATCGATATATGAAATCATTTATTGTCTATTGTTTTTACTAGCTAATATCATTTATAGAAAAAGCCTTGCACTAAACTCTTCAACTTTTTTATATCTTCCCTAAAATGTAGAAATCGGCAAATTTTGATGCTAGATTTCAACATGCACGTAATTTATATATGCGACACCGGAAATCCAGAACATATAAATCATATCGACGTGGACCGGATGAAGTTGTGGAAGAATTTAGGAGCAAAATTAAAACAAACGTCTACCCTAAAAATATATCAGATTATTATACATGTGAACCTCAACCACGTATATGCACTCCATTTTTGTTAACTATTACGCTAAGTACGTTTTTATTGTATTGTATATTGAAACTAAATTGAACAATAGCGATATTTACTCTGAAAGTTGAAAATAGTTAGGTTCAATTACTTGTTCTGTAAAAGTATTTATTTTACCATACATGGATGAACCAATCAGTACCGAGATAAAGACTTGAATTTTTGCGCTTGAGTCAAAACTGAATGTCTAATATCTAATGTCACGTAAATATTGAAGTAGAGATACAGTTATTTAGTGTTCAGAACGTCTAAAATGATATGGGAAGTATTTCGTACGATCATGAGTTAAAGACTGTAGAGTATCAATTCCCCAGGTTTTTTCCAGTGTAGATTGTCTTTAGCATTCAAGTCAACCTTGTCCTTAACTCCAAATCCTAACTTCAAGAGATTCTGTGGTGGTCGGTATTTCATATAATCCTTAAACTTCGTATACAGTTCGTCTTGATAACCGTCACTAGATAACGCTCCAACGGTATATCAATCAGAAGGCGAATACGAAGTGTTGATTATGTTTATTATGGGACCACACACACACATCCAAAAATTACAGATGCGTTAAACAAGCATGAAAGAGTTGTGCCGAAAGGCAAGCGAATGATTCAGCGAACATGAGTGCGAGTAAGCGATTAAACTTCAATGAGAGAGAGCAATGAACATGAATAACATGGACATAAATATACATAGTGAAATGAATGAATCATCGAATCAATTGAGCGGTTAGTAGTAAGGCTAGCAGCATGAATAAATGCGTAGGCAGTAAGCAATACTCAAGCATACATGTTCATACATTCGCAACAATAATAAAGATACAATGACATAGATAAGTTGTTGTACGGATGACTCAGTTCGTTAATAAGTTGATTTGATTATGAGCAGTTAACAATGTCATGCTATGTGGGATTCAAAGACGGAAAGAAGGATGTAAGTATTCAAGGTCATATACTTAAACAACAAGTGCAATCGATTAATGATAAATGTACAGATTATGAGAACTGGTAAAATAAATGCAAAAGATATCAAAAACTATTTACAAAATAGGTTTATTAAGTCTATCTCCACAATTCAAAGCCAGATATATAAAGGTGGCCTTGACAAGTGAATCCCACTTTTATGTATAATTAAAAGTAAATATATAAGTCCAGTATACGTCGTTGTAATGTATACTAAGATGACAAGTAGGACAAGTCATTGAATTCTCAAATATGTTTTTAATATTTAGTAAATTCGTGATATACAAGATTGCATTTTATAAATACA